AAAAAAAAAAATCGGAAAGGAGGAGGGCAAGCGTGGTAACGTCGGTAAGATTACAGATGGACGGATAGCTAAGAGGAAACTGTCTAGCGTTTCCCCCGAACACGATGCACACTCAAAATGCATGCATCGGACCCGAAAGACAGCTTCTATACATGCATTAACGTGGTGTGTTGTGTGCATCTATACATGCACTAACGTGGTGTGTTGTGTGCTTCTATACATGCATTATCGTGGTGTCTTTGTGGGGGGGGGCAATAGAGGTGTACATATCACAGGTTGGGATTAAAGAAAAAGGAAAAGAACAGGACAAAGACTGTGTGGCAAGGCACCATAGCCACCGTGACCATGGTTTTAATGGACGCAGAGTCATTGAGGTCCAGCGCATGGCATACCTCTGCCCGAGTCTGCCGCGCTCTCCCTCTCTCCCTCTGTCTCTCTCTGTGGGTCCCTTCCTCTCCGCTAAGTCGGATTGCGAACCTGCGTACAACGCTGCTGCTGCTCGGACAAGTGCCTGGGCACATACTTATACCCAAGAATGACAATCACCACAACATCCCTCCCTCCTTCCCACTGCTATCTGATTTCCCAAGCTGGCGACTGACGTTGGCCTTGGATGGATGGCGGATGGATGGGTGGAATGGATTGCGGAATGGATGGAATGGTTTTCATTGGTTGGTTGGATAGATGGTGAACAGGATGGGCTGGGTTGTGAACTGGATTGAACCACGTAGATCTCTCTCTCATTCTCTCTCTCTCTCTCTCTCTCTCTCTCTCTCTCTCTCTCTCCTGCGTGCATCCTTGTCAGGGGGGCGCCGTGGTTCCAAGGAGGGACCCTCCATTGCTTCCTTCACATTTTCTCTCTCTCTCTCTCTCTCTTTCTTTTTCTTTCTTTTTCTTATTTCTTTCTCGCATGCAATCTTATCAGAGGAGACCGTCCGGTCAGGTCACACAGAGAATTGAACGGGTTGGGTTTATTAACCTTTTACGAAAAAGAGAGGGATCTGGGCCGTCTGGGGTACCCAAGCAAGATGTAGGAGGAAGCATCCAGAACTTGCCGTCTAGGGTACCCAAGAATATGGCATGAAAAGCATCAGAACGTGCCGTCTAGGGTACCCAAGAAAAGCATCGGAACGTGCCGTCTGGGGCACCAAAGAAAAGCATCCAGAACGGGTGTCTGTGGTTCCAAGGAGGGACCCACCAACTAGAGTAACTGCTACGCCCACTGAACCAGGAAGGACACCTTTCTCTGCCTTTTGGCTAAGTAAGATCAAGTCTAGTATTTGTTCTGATCTCTGGTCCATCAGGCCACACGATATTAAATTAATTTTTTCAGGCGATGAAAGGGTCACAAGGGTAGGCTTCCCTGCCCGACCCCTTTGGGTTGCCTTTGCGTTGCACTCCAGCAAAGCGCGGTACAGGTAATATTTGTACGGGATCTGTACGAAACAGTCATCAAAAAAATCCGAAAACAATATATGTGATGCATCAGCACAAAACAAGCAACATTTGGCTGAGCATCATCTTCAGATTCGTATAAGAATTTGGGAATATATATATATATATATATATATATCGTCACAAATAGAACTGCCCGGTAAACCGTAGGTATATCATGTATATATATCGTCATATACAGGGTTGCCGGCGTTCGGGACGGGCCGAACACCCGAACCCGAACGCCCGAACGGTTGGGACCCCCTCTTGACG